CAATCCTTGCAATTTCAAATCAGTCTCCTCTGGGGGCACAGCCAGTGAAGAAGCAGCAGCAGCAGCCCTTGCATCAGTGATTCTCCATCTCACAAGGTTTGCCCTCTGCACAGGCAGAGACACTCACTGAAATCTTGGTGCAAAGTCACAAGAGTGGATTCCAGTGAGTATGAGGCTTGCAAAGCCAGGAGCCCATCCCAGGAAGTCATAAAGTAGAGTTTGTAGAAGTTGTGCAAATGTCCAGAAAGGGGGACGGGGCTTAGCTCACATTGGCTGCCTGAGGAGGCCTTGAACTCTCCCTCTGTCCTTCATCTTCCTCCCCATTACCTCCAACCCTGTAACTAGCAGGCAAGAAGCAGGCGTGGAGAGAGCACGTCCTGCAGAAGCTGAGGAAAACGGGAGAAATGCCAGGAAGAGGCTGAAGTGGGGAGGTCGGATGGGGCAAGGAGCCCCAGCCTGGAGTTAGGGTAAGAAAACCGGGGAAAGAGGCCAGATGTCACCAACAAATGTCTTCTCCTTCTGAGGGCTGAAGCTGTTCAGGAGAGAAAGCAGACAGCTAGGTATTTACTCACAAGCCACACCTCTTAACAGAGCACAGGACTTCCCACATTTTTCGAACTTGCAACCAATGAGTTCACACACTTTCCAAAATACACTCTACATGTTTTCCATGACATTTGCTGCTTTATTTAACAACAAGATACTTTATTCCTTGTTTTCCTCATGCATTCAACAACAAATGGAAGGAGGAGAAGGAGGAGAAGGAGAAGAAAGAATCCTAGGTTGATGGGAACACAGACCCTTTCTCCCAAGTCCCAACAAGCACAGCCCACTGGGGCACGTACAGTCTCCAATTCTTCCCAGGCAGCTGAGAAATCCTTCAAATCACCCTGACCAGCAGAGGGGACAGCTTGTCACATATACACACACAGCTTTTTTGGCGTGGCAGAGAGAGGTTGTTCAATATGGCATGAAAACAACACTCACACACATTTCGAACCATGAAAAGGAGATGGCAGAAAAGAAACAGCCTCCATAAAATAGGAGGGCAACAAGACACTTGTAGTAGCCCCATCAGGACGCAGATCCTCACGGTTTGATTCAGGAAGTTGATGGGGGCACACACAGACTCAGCGGGGTCAGTAAAAGATGCAAAGGCTCATTATTAATATTAAGCCAATGATGATTATTAATATCCCTAAGGGCCAAGAAGGTAGCCAGAGCAGAAAAGAAGCTAGCTAGTGCTGGAAGTGAGACGTGCACTAAAGGGGCCCTTCTTTTGGAAATTGGACTCAATCAGCCAATGCAATTGTTCCTGAAATGCATTCTGTGCTTGCCTTCCGTGGTGGTTGTGCCCACGGGGGACCAAGATCCTAAACTGGCTTAAACCTAGAAAGCCCAAAGGGGTCTTTATTTCTCAAGTGATGCTCAGTCTGCAGAAAGTGAGGGGAAGAAATGATCAACCAGAAAAAAAGGTTATGTCTAGCATGGATGGTGGAT